TGCAGGTCTCACAGCTGAGATTCCCCAAGAGAGCCTAAGATTATCCCAAGGTAAGCCAAATGAGCTTTAACATCACCTATAGGAAGTAATAACCTTCTGGGTTAAGGCAGTCCAGAAGGCAAGAAGTGGCAGGGGTTAGAAGACTGACCAATCAAGCAAATAAATTAAATTACATATCAATATTGCTTCTATCGACACAAGTATCCAAAATGAAATATTAGCAAACAAAATCCAATACCACGTTGAAAAGAAAATACGTAATTACCTAAACAGGACTTACTCCAAGCATATAGACTGGTTTAATATTTGGAAATCCATTAATACAATATGCCATTATAATATAACTAAGAAGAAAAATCTTACATTTCCTAAGATGACGAAAAGACCTCTGACAATATTCAAACGCATACCTAATTAAAAATTTAAAAAACCCTCAAGAAAATAGGAATTGATGGATACTTCACCAACATGAATATACCTATGTATACACATACTCATACCCTAATGTGCACAGTACGTGTGATACATATACACACGGGTACATACATACACTTTTTTGAGTCCAGACACAAACACATATCTATGCTTCAGTCCTCTTAGTTCTAAAGTCAGGACTTACTTAATGGGTAAACAATAGACACATTCTCAGAAAGATTAGAAACAAGGCAAAATGCTCATTATCTCCAATCAGAGAAAACAATTAAATGCCTAATAAGCAATAAGAAAAAGTGGAACTATTTCTATTCACAGATGATATACTATACCTAGAAAACTCAAAGAATCAACAATGGAACCAAATCAATAAAAAGAATGCTGTTAGGTCACAATATATAGTTAACACACATAAAGACAACAGCCCTCACTATGTAAAAAAGAGTAAAAAGATGTAATTCAAGTGTACACACAGTTTACAATAGCAACAGAAAAAAACTCTTAATAAGAAATATACAAAATCTATACTAGAAAATTTTTAAAACCCTCCTGAAAGACAGAGAAGTAGACCTGAACAAATGGAATGATTCTCCTTGTTCTTGAACACACTGTGAAGCACAATAAAAGGAGGCATGCCTTCACCAAGATGTATCAAAATCAAATGGCTAAAAACTAGTGATAAAAAATAAAGAAATAAAGACACGTTATACACAGAGGAATAAAGATGAGGATGACATCAAATTTCTCTTGGAATCAATGTAAGCAAGAAGCCAGTGGAGGAACACATTTAAAGTACTGGAGAATATAAAAAACAGCAATAATCTCTTTAAAAGTGAAGGCAAAATAAAGATATTTTCAGACATACAAGAGCCATAAGAATTCATTATCAACTAGAAGAAATGTTAAAGAAAGTCCTTCAGGCAGAAGGAAAATGACAGCAGATAAAAATGTGGATCTACACAACAGAATGAAGCACCAGAAACGGTAACTATGTATTTTCTTTCATTATTTAAATCTCTTTAAAAGATTAATTAAAAATGACAATGTATCAGGAATTCCCTGGTGGTCCAGTGGTTAGAACTCAGAACTTTAACTGCAGGGGCCCATGTTCAATCCCTGGTCGGGGAACTGAGATCCCACTAGTCACTCGGTTTGACAAAAAAAAAAAAAACAAACAACAACAAAAAACCCAATGTATTGTGGGATTGGTATTACCTCTAAAAATAAAATGCAACAACAGTATAAAGACCAAGAAGGGAAAAATGGAACTGTAGCTAAGTGATCAGGCATATTACTTGAAGATAAACTATAATAAATTAAAGCTACATACTATAAACACTAAAGCACCCACTAAAATAACAAGTGTTATGGCTAATAACCCAACAAAGGATATAAAATGGAATCACAAAAAAGTCAATCAAACAGAAGGAAGACAAAGAAGATGGGACAAATAGAAAATAAAGACAACAGACTATAACCTAACTGGTTGTATCAATATTCACTTTACAAGTAAATAGTCTAAACACCCCAATTAATAGACAGAAATTATCAAATTGGATAAAAAAAAGAAGACCTAACTATATGCTGTCTACAGCGCTGTACTTCACATATAAAGATGCAAATAGGTTAAAAGTAAAAGGACAGAATAAAACATTGCACACCAACACTACTCAAAAGAAAGCTGGAATGGCTTTATAAGTATCAGAGATTCCATTTCACAGCACAGACCATTGCCAGGATAAAGGAGGCCAATTCACAACAACAAAGTGGTTAATTAATCAGAAGGACCTAATAATCTTAAATGGTTAGGTATCTTCTCACAAAATTCATGAAGCAAAAACTGACAGAATTGCAAGGAGAAACAGACAAAACACAATCGCCGGAGATTTCAATTCCCCCTCTCTCACGACTCATGGGACAAGTCGGCAGAAGGTTAGCAAGGATATGGTGCACCTGCCAAACATTCCCAACTTGATGTTACTGACATTTAGAGAACACTCCACCCACCGAGAGCAGAACAGGCACCCTTCTCAAGTGCACGTGGAGCTTCTCCGAGAGAGACCTATTCTGGGTCATAAATCTTAAAAGAGTCATTATTTATGTAGTGTTCCTGCCGAAAAATCACCATCTAAATCTATGAAAAAACATCGGGGAAACATAAATTCAAAGAATTCTACAAAATAATTGGCCTGTATTCTTCAATTACTATAATGGCATTAAGAAACTATTCCATATTAAACAGACTTAAAAAGCATGAAAACTAAATGCAATTCATAATTCCGGACTGCGTCCTCCATCAAAAATTAAAAATTGCTATAAAGGAAATTACTGGGAAAACTGACAAAACTGGAAGTTGGATGACTGGATGAACTGTAGATTAAAGTATTATATCAAGGGGACTTTCCTGGTGGTCCAGTGGTAAAGAATCCACCTTACAATGCAGAGGACGTGGGTTCGATCCCTGGTCAGGGAACTAAGACCCCACATGCCACAGGGCAACTAAACCCACGCACCACAAGTACTCAGCTCGGGCGCCTCAACTAGAGCCCTCGTGCCGCAAAGTGCAGAGCCCACAAGCTCTGGAAAAGGAGCGCTACAGCTAGAGAGCCGACACGCCCTGAAGCCAGTGCGCCACAACTAGAGAAGAGAAAAACCCCATGCCACAACTAGAGAGAAGCCCACGCGCCACAACAAAGAGCCCACTCACCACAACTAAGACCTGATGCAGCCAAAAATAAGTAATAAATAAATAAATAAAAATAAAGTATTATATCAGGAATTTGCCTGGTGGTCCAGTGTGTAAGACTTCCAATGCAGAGGGCCTGGGGTCGATCCCTGGTTGGGGAACTAGATCCTGCATGCATGCCGCAACTAAGAAGCCTGCATGCTGCAACTCAGAGTCTGCATGCTGCAACTAAGACATGGCACAGCCAAAATGAATAAATTTTAAAAATTCTTTGAAAAAATAAATAAAGTATTATATCATTGTGAAATTTCCTGAATTCAGTTACCTCTGGCAAGCATACATAAGAAAATATTCTTGATCTTAGGAGATACAACTGAGACATTACAGGGTAAAGGGGCATGACACACTCTCAAACGTTCAGAAAAAAATATGTTAAAGTTAAAACAATTGCAATGCAGTCAACACAATTCAAGGCTAATCAAATGCAACATACGGGCTCTATTTGTATCCTCATTGAAAAGAAAAAACTGAAAAACATGTAGAAAATTGTGAAACTTTGAACACTAAGAAAAAATGATATTGTGGGTTATCCCCACCCACTTTTTAAAAGACTCATTATTGTTTAAAGATACATACAGAAATACAAGTGAATTTTTTCTAAAGGGTTTTTAAATGAATATTTATTTTTAATTAATTTTATTTATTTATTTTTGGCTGTGTTGGGTCTTCGTTGCTGCATACAGGCTTTCTCTAGTTGCGGTGCGTGCGCTTCTCATTGCGGTGGCTTCTCCTGTTGTGGAGCATGGGCTCTAGGCACGCAGGCTTCAGTAGTTGTGGCACAAAGGCTCAGTAGTTGTGGCTCAGGGGCTCTAGAGCGCAGGCTCAGTAGCTGTGGCGCACGGGCTTAGTTGTTCTGCGGCATGTGGAATCTTCCCGGACTAGGGCTCAAACCCGTGTCCCCTGCACTGGCAGGCAGATTCTTAACCACTGTGCCACCAGGGAAGTCCCAAATGAATTTTTTTTAAAGCCAAGAAAAGGGAGACTCCATGAGTTTGGCAGTAACAGATGTCAAAGGCAGATGGATGGTCAGGAGAGGTAAGGACCTGAAAATGTCCACTGGATTTGACTATAATTAGGTCACTGCTAATCTTTACCAACAGATTCAGGAGAGTGGTAAGGACAAAACCAAGACACCAAGAATTAAAATGGGAATGGGAAGTGAAAACACCTTATTGGAGAATATCTGTCTGTACTGTGTGCTGTACAACCCCCCAAAAACACACTAACAGAAATATCTGAAGGATGAGAAGGCCATTCCATGACTTAGGTTTTAGCCTTGGACTAAATAGTAAAAATGTAAACAGGTCTACTTGGATCACAATATTTTGGAGCCTGGAAAAATCACATGCACCAAGTTCCCATTGGGCAGCAGGCCCACTGCTAAGATAAACAATAAGTCTAAGTCATATACTGAAATGATTTGATGCCTGTTATTAGGAGAGCTATCCACAATTACTTCAACTTCAACAAACAAATTTTTCCAGGTCTTAGGAAATCTTTGAAATCCACAAGTAACAAAAATGCTTTCTTCTTATAGTCAACACAAATCACACGATGGATGGTATCTTCCTTTTTCTATAACTGTCAAGAACATGAGTCATATTTGCAGCTCAATTCCAGTAGCCTTAAAGCATCATACTACCTATATGTGTGAACCTGACAACAACTACGTGCCGCCCTGACTCTGTAACAACTGTATTTTATGTGATAATGTCTTTTACCTATTTCTACCTTCACGTTTTAAAATGTGGATCCTTATACACCTCCTAAAATGCATTACAAAACAAAGTGGGGGAATACATACACCGACAGGAAAACTCACCTGGGATTCATTCATTTTCTGCTGCTCTTGGAAAAATCGTAGACTGTAAACGGTGGACCTAGAGGAAGGGAAGCAAGTAACTGAAGTGCTGAGTAACCTGACCTGCCCAGGCAGGAACCTCCTGCATCAGGACCATCAAAGAAAGTCCAATAAAATGACACCCTATGAACATTCAAGAGGCTAAAAGGGTCCTACAAGAGAAACACACACCTGTACCTTTCCAACACCAACATGATCAAGTTACTCTCATTGGTGAATATGAACGACTGTTTCAAAGAGTTAAATTAAAAATGCAAATAAAAAAAATTTCCCTGTGACACTACTTAAGTATTTTCTTATTGTCTCTTTGAATTGATTAAAATCAAAGATTCCACAGAAAGGGAGAATGTAAGCTCTCAAAAGTGGGATAAACATGCATCAAGGCACCGCACTGTTTGTAAATCATCTGACTCAATTTGGTTACCGCTGCACTTCTGAGTGTTTTATTATGAAACTGACTTTAAGTGGACAGAACACCTGCCCTAGGAGTTTGGAGTCCTGTTAGCGACCCCACATGCACACCCGGTGAGGATCTGGGACAAGTCACCTCCCTTCTCAGGCCCAATCTCTTCCTTCCTCAAGCGAGGCAGCAGGACAGAAGCCTTGCAGACTCATCCTGCACTAACTACACTGTGCGACTCCACAGGGCACAACCCAGGGGGGCAGCGGACGCTTAGATTAGACAACCAAGGTGCTGATGGGCCTTGAGAGACACGTGCGAGATGCCGAGACGGCGACAGGAGGACAAGGAGGATCGGGGTTGGACGGAGGGGTGGACGCGCCACGTCCCGGCCGAGCCTGCGGCCCCTGCTCCCCCAGAACACCGGGTGCTCACAAGTCCCAGGGGAGCCCCATCCGGAACTCCCGGCCCTGCTCTCCAGTCCGGCCTATCCACCTCGGGGAAGCGGTCAAACCCTCCCGGTCGTTCTCCCGCGGGGCCCGGGGCGGGCTACCCCAAGTCCCGCTCTCCAACGGCCGCAGGGTCCACAACCGCCTACAGGCCCGCAGACGCAACACCTACCCCGTCGAGACTAGCTGACCGGCCCCGGGCTCCCGAGGCTCCGGTCCGGGGGCTGCTCCTCCGGCGCGCTCCTCTCACGGATCGCTCCGCCTCCCGAGACCACTGGGCCAGAGAAGCCGGCTCTGGGCCTACGGCACAAGCTCCCTTCAGGCCCACGTCCCTCCCGGGACCTCGCTGTGCCTCGCGCTGCAGACTGCCTGGCACTGCGCCGCCGCCGCCGCCCGGCCGGCCCCTCCGGCCCAGCCCGCGGGCTCCGGAGCTCGCGCTCGGGGGTCCTCGTTCCAGCCTCTGCCCAGCCCACGCGAACCCTCGCCCACACAGCCCGCGCCCTCTGGGTGCCGGCCGGGCCAGACGGCGTCCACCCCTTCAGGCCCCGGAATCCTCGCTCGCCGGAGGCCACAGCCTGGGAACGAAAGCAAGCGGTGACCTGGGCACGGATAGGAAACAAGAGCGGCGCGGCGCAGCGCCGGTGCGCGTGCGCGAACACGCACACAGGGTGAGGCGCACTAGCGCAGGAAGACGCCGGAAGTCCGCCTGCCAAGGCCCGCCCCGGAGAGCGAGACAAATACCAGAACTCTATTTCCCAGAAGTCTCCGCGCCGTCAAGTTAGGGAACGTCTTAAATATCTCCATCTCATCTGGCGGTGAAGAGGTGCTGTGGTGAGAAGTTGGGCCGCCTGGACCAGGGACTCAAATTTCCCCTTACCTTAAGGGAACGTCTGTTATGTCACCGCTTCTCGAGGACTCTTACCTGTGTCCTGGTGCGCTAATCTTTTCCTTACCTTGAATGCTTAAGTCTTAGAATAAGTGTCCACAGACAACTGATAAATAAGGGAAAGGAGTTTATCATGTTAGCTTACTATCATAGTGAGCTATTTAATCAAAATATTAGTGAATAGAACTTAGCGTTAACATAATAGAGTATTAACCTAGGATACCTTCCTCCCCCTCATAGGGAAAAAGAAACATAGGCTTTCCAAACCACTTTTAATTCGTGAAAACTGTAGAAAAAATCATAAAATACAGAATTGAAAGAAGAAAATTACCCATACCTTTACTTCCTGAAGAGGATTATGTGTGTGGAAAAAAAATTGTGTGTTTCAATGGCCAACTAAGCATTATTTGGAGGACATCGCTCTGCGTTGATTTCAGCCCTCTCTTTGTCTTTGAGCTGTTTTACACGTCTTCGAAGGTTGTAGGTAACATGAAATTCTGTCCACTTGGTAGGAAGTTCAGTTGACTCGCCAAACCCCTACCCAGGAAGAATCCAATTTTACCTTCATTTCTTTATTTACATATTCATTTCAGTAGTCCTGATCTGTAATGTGTCTGTTTCTCAGATTCTCTTTTGAACCGGTTATAACAGCTGCAGGTTCCCTCTTGAATGAAATAAAATACTTAGCCTGTGCTCATTTTTATATCTGTATGAGAGTCATGATCTCACCCTTATTTTCTTTTTAAGATTTATTATTTATTTATTTATTTTATTTACCTTTGGCTGCGTCAGGTCTTAGTTGCAGCAGGCGGGCTCTATGTTGTGGAGCTTGGGCTTCTCTCTACTTGTGGTGCGTGGGCTTCTCTCTAGTTGTGGCGGGCTGGTTTTCTCTCTTTAGTTGTGGTGCACGGGCTCCAGGGCACGTGAGCTCTAGCTTGCGGCACTCGGGCTCTAGTTGAAGTGTGAAAGCTCAGTAGTTGTGGCACGCGGGCTTAGTTACCCTGCGGCACGTGGGATCTTAGTTCCCTGACCAGGGACTGAACCCAGGTCTCCTGCATTGTAAGGGGATTCTTTACCACTGGACCACCAGGGAAGTCCCTATCCTTATGTTTTAACAGTTTGGGAGGTCTTCACAGAGATCCTGGATGGATTCACCTAACAGCACCAGGTAAACTTTGTGTCAAGAGTAGTGCACATCATTCCTCAAGAATTTTAAAGTAAAACTATAAAAGGATCCAGAAATTCCACTTCTGTGTATTTTTTGGAAGAAAAAAACACACTAGTTCAAAAAGATACATGCACCCTTATGTTCATTGAGCATTATTTATAATAGCCAGTGTATAGAAGCAACCTATGTGTCCATCCATAGATGAATGGATAAAGAAGATGCGTTTTATATATATATATATATATATATATATATATATATATATATATATATACACACACACACCACAATGGACTATTAGCCACAAAAAAAAAAAAAAGAGTGAGGGGCTTCGCTGGGGTTTCACTGGTTAAGAATCCACCTGCCAGTACAGGGGACATGGGTTCAAGCCCTGGTCCGGGAAGATCCCACATGCCACGGAGCAACTAAGCCCGTGTGCCACAACTATTGAGCCTGCGCTCTAGAGCCTGTGAGCCACAACTACTGAGCCTGCGTACCACAACTACTGAAGCTCGCTCACCTAGAGCCCATGCTCTGCAACAAGAGAAGCCACTGCAATGAGAAGCCCACGCAGCGCAGTGAAGTGAAGCCCCCGCTCGCCGCACCTAGAGAAAAGGCCACATACAGCAACAAAGACCCAACGCAACCAAAAATAAAATAAATAAATTTTAAAAATTAAAAAAAATAATGAAATCTTGCCATTTGTGGCAACATGGATGGAGCTAGAGGGTATTATGCTAAGTGCAATAAGTCAGACAGAGAAAGACAAATACCGTATGATCTCATATGTGTGTGGAATCTAAAAAACAAGGCAAAAGAACTAATGTAACTAAACAGAAACAGACTCATAGATACAGAGAACAAACAGGTGGTTGCCAGAGGGGCGTAGGTGGATGAGTGAAATAGATGAGGGAGATTAAGAGAAACAGATGACCAGTTACAAAATAAATGAGTCATGGGAATGAAATATACAGCATGGGCAATACAGTGAATAACATTATAATAACTTTGTATGGTGACCGATGGTAACTAGACCATGGTGATGGATGGTAACTAGACCATAACTAGACTTATCATGGTGATCATTTTCTAATGTATAGAAATATTGATATTATGCACCTGGAACTAACAAAGTGTTGTAAGTCAGTTACACTTGAATTAAAATTTTTTAATTGAAAAGAAAAGAATAGTGTGTCTCGTTAACTATAGACACTTAGTCATACAGCAGTTCTCTAGAACATATTCATCTTGTGTAACTGTAACTTTATACCCATTGAACAATTCCCATCCTCTCCTCCCCTACCCCTGACAATTTATGTTTAACTTTTTTAGATACCTCATATAAGTGGAAACACACAATTTTGTCCTTCTGTGACTGACTTATTTCACTTACCATAATGTCTTCCAGTTATATTCCTGTTGTCACAACTGGTAGGATTTCCTTCTAATAAGTGAATAATATCCTGTTATATGTATATACCACATTTTCCTTATCCATTTGTCTGTTGATAAAATTTGCGTTGTTTTCCTATCTTGGCTCTTGTGAATAATGCTGTAATGAATATAGAGGTGCATATATCTCTTCCAGATATTGATTTCATTTACTTTGGATATACAGGCTATATTATATTATAGTTATTGTGCTTCCCGGATCTTGTGTTTTTTACAAACTGAAGGTTTGCGGCAACTCTTTGTTGAGCAAGTCTATTGGCACTGTATTTCCAACAGCAGTTCCTCACTTCTTGTCTTTGTGTCATATGTTAGTAATTCTCACACTATTTCAAACCTACCATCAGCAAAAAGATTACTACTCACCGAAGGCTCAGATGATGGTTAGCGATTTTTACCAATAAAGTATTTTTATTTATTTATTTATTTGGCTGTGCTGCACAGCATGTGGCATCTCAGTTCCCTGACCAGGGATCAAAGGTGCACCCTCTGTATTGGAAGGCGAATTCTTTTTATTATTATTATTTCTTTTGTGGCACGCGGGCCGCTCACTGTTGTGGCCTCTCCCGCCGCCGAGCACAGGCTCGGGACGCGCACGCTCAGCGGCCATGGATCACGGGCCCAGCCGCTCCCCGGCATGTGGGATCCTCCCGGACCGGGGCAGGAACCCGAGTCCCCTGCATCGGCAGGCGGACTCTCAACTACTGCGCCACCAGGAAAGCCCTGGAAGGCTAATTCTTAACCACTGGACCACCAGGGAGGTCCCTAAAGTATTTTTTTTTAACATCTTTATTGGAGTATACTTGCTTTACAATGTTGTGTTAGTTTCTGCTGTATAACAAAGTGAATCAGCTATATGTATACATATATCCACATATCCCCTCCATCTTGAGTCTCCCTCCCACCCTCCCTAGCCCACCCCTCTAGGTGGACACAAAGCACCAAGCTGATCTCCCTGTGCTATGCGGCTGCTTCCCACTAGCTATCTGTTTTACATTTGGTAGTGTATATATGTCCATGCCACTCTCTCACTTTGTCCCAGCTTACCCTTCCCCGCGCCCCCCCCACCCCCGCCCCGTGTCCTCAAGTGCATTCTCTGCGTCTTTATTCCTGTCCTGCCACTAGGTTCATCAGAACCACTTTTTTATTTTTTCTTTAGGTACCATAAATATGTGTTAGCATACGGTATTTGTTTTTTTCTTTCTGAGTTACTTCACTCTGTTTCACAGACTCTAGGTCCATCCACCTCACTACAAATAGTTCAATTTCATTCTTTTTATGGCTGAGTTATATTCCGTTGTATATATGTGCCACATCTTCTTTATCCATTCATCAGTCAGTGGAAACTTAAGTTGCTTCCATGTCCTGCCTATTATAAATAGTGCTGCAGTGAATATTGTGGTACGTGTCTCTTTTTGAATTATGGTTTTCTCAGCGTATATGCCCAGGAGTGGGATTGCTGGATCATATGGTAGTTCTATTTTTAGTTGTTTTTAAAAAATAAATTTATTTATATTTATTTATTTATTATTTTTGGCTGTGTTGAGTCTTCGTTGCTGTGGGCGGGCTTTCTCTAGTTGCAGAGAGCTGGCGCTACTCTGTTGCAGTGCGCGGGTTTCTCATTGTGGTGGCTTCTCTTGTTGCAGAGCGTGGGTTCTAGACATGTGGGCTTCAGTAGTTGTGGCACGTGGGCTCAGTAGTTGTGGTGTACGGGCTCAGTGGTTGTGGCGCACGGGCTTAGTTGCGCCACGGCATGTGGGATCTTCCCGGACCAGGCTCGAACCCGTGTCCCCTGCATTAGCAGGTGTATTCTTAACCACTGCGCCACCAGGCAAGGCCTATTTTTAGTTTCTTGAGGAGCCTCCACACTGTTCTCCATAGAGGCTGTATCAATGTACACTCCCAGCAACAGTGCAGGAGGGTTCCCTTTTCTCCACACCCTCTCCAGCATTTATTGTTTGTAGATTTTTTGATGATGGCCATGCTGAGCGGTGTGAGGTGATACCTCACTGTAGTTTTGATTTGCCTTTCTCTAATGATTAGTGTCGTTGAGCATCCTTTCATGTGTTTGTTGGCAATCTTATATCTTCTTTGGAGAAATGTCTATTTCGGTCTTGTGCCCATTTTTGGATTGA